GCACAAGTATTTGAAACCAATGTGAATTTCCTCTTGACATCGTGTTACTTGATTTTCAACTAGGCCGTACTATGCTCACTCTATTTATATATTAATAGATTTCTATATTTATCTCGTGCACTGAAGAGGTACATGGGCAGTGCAAATTTTAGAATTGGAACACAAGGAAAGAAATAAACATAAAAAGAGTAAATATAAGGAAGTTTACTAAGTTAAACATACTTCAAGTTAGCACTATTTGCTTCTTATGGATTGCACAGCCTCTATGTAGAGAATGGTAAATGGAAGTACGTAAAGCGCCTTTGTTTTGCTGGCTGGTATGCAGTTAGCCACTGCAGGAGTGCCCTGGCCTGGTTCCTATTCATCACAGTAGCGCGAACACTGAAAACATGCATCTCTTTTTAGGCTATTCTGTTGGTTTTGCCTAATTTCAAGGCAAGCTAAACATTGTAAAAACAGTAATAAATTTTGCATAATGTTGTTTTGCTATGCTGAGAATCACATTTATAGTTGTTCTGACAGCGGTGCACTGGGTTGTCTTCAAGGCTTTTCCGGGGGAGAGAATACACAACAGATTTCCCTGGAGTTGGAAAAATTGTGAATGTGTCCCCTTTTCCTGAGTTATGCTACATTTGGAGGACAAGAGCACCATGAAATCTGCTTAGAAGTATGGTGGATACAATAGGAAGGCGCTATTTGGATTGGGTAAAATCGTTTGTGTTTGCTCCATATTTACCACTTCAACAGTGTCCTTCTATTGTGTCCGCCAAGCTGTAAAAGACTGATTAGAGTTATGGAGGCTTTCACGTTGTCTTTTTCTTCAGTCATTGTTAGCTACTGAAGGGTCACACTATTGAGCCTACAGGGAAAATAACTAAAAAGAAAATTTGTCTGAGTTACAAACGCAATCCTTTAAAATGACTTCAAAGGGTTGGCATACCTTCCACAAAGAAACTGCATGGTTGCAACAATAATAAAAGAATGCTGAATACCTGCTACGTTGAATGTGAAGATATTCGAGTCTGAACAGCCACCAGAATTAGTTACGCTGCAAGTGACTGTATGAGAGCCTACTCCAAATGTACCACCAGTGGTATTCACGCTAGTTCCATCTGCAAGAGTGCACGAAATGGTTCCACCTGCTACATTTGAGGCAGTTACTTCGTCCCATCGCACTGCAACTGTGGAAGCCGCTGCATCAATACACTGCTGGCTAACCGTTGGTACTGCCAGCGTTGGGGATGCTGCAAACACACATTATCAATAACCCTTATTTCCAGTCACAATAAAATATCGGTTCGTTTTAAACATGCTAAATCATGATCTGGATATCACTACCAAAATTTAGTTGTCCAGAGCTATTGCATAAAGAAAGTCAAACAAAGAGCTAACATATGTTTAAAGAATACTAATTTAAATAAGAAACCTTTACAGTTACAGGTTTAATATAACATATATATCTTACCACATTGAGTCGTTGTAACTATTTCAGTGGTGGTTGTTCCTGGGGTGGTGGTTATTGGTGGAGGTTCTGGAGGAGTAGTAGTGCTAAGTGGAGGTCCTTGAGGGGTGGTGGTGGTCACTGGAGGATCTGGAGGGGTGGTGGTGGTCACTGGAGGTTCTGGAGGGGTGGTGGTGGTTACTGGAGGTTCTGGAGGGGTGGTGGTGGTTACTGGAGGTTCTGGAGGGGTGGTGGTGGT